CCCCCACCACCACCCCCAATTCTGTAATTACGGAGTTTCACCAAGTACCGACAGTTTCAAGTATCAATTATACAAATAGGTAATCTGAGGGTGAAATAGTAGTACAATCACTGAACAAAATTAAATACAGTTTGCCATAAAACCTGTTGTAATACGCTCTCTAAAACTTGTTATTCAAGATAATCATTAGATAGACATCCTGTGAATATAAGCTTTCATCCTAATAAACCCTCAGTGGCACAGCGGTGTGTCTGCGGACTTACAATGCTAGAAACCGTTGATGGATATATGTCGACATTAGCATCCTGATGACAGATGTTTTACCTGGTCCAATGAGTAAGTACTCGTACAGATCGATTTTTCACATCCAAAAGTCTTATTCTATTTTCACCTTTCTGATATTAATCCGTGTATTCAGAACATGAATTTGTGGTCTTACAATTGTCTTCCATATACTCCATCAGCCATGGAAAAGGGTTGTTGGAAGATAAATAATCTGTACCTTCACTATGATGAATTAGAATTGACGTTTAAATTTTGGATACAATTGCAACATTCTGACAATATGGCTTTATGGGTAAGTACTTTTAAACGATATTTTCTTAATTCTAAATGCCAAAGGTTACTGATAGAAACATTCATCTTTTATAATTGCAATCTTGTCTTCGACAGGTCTACTATCACATTACAATAGCTGATTCTGAATGTTTGCTTAAACTATATGACTTATAAATTCAAGTTAATTCTCTTTTAAATCTCAGTCTGAAGGGTTTCAAGATTTAGAGCTGGTGCAATTGAGGCTTTTGAAAAAAAAGAAAGCCATCCTTTTGGTGAACAGAAAGTAATATATAGTCTGGTTTTTGATGGCTTTGTAATTAACGAACAGAAAGTAATATCCAGTCTGTAAGCAATCCTGAAAAATATTTGGGGGTGCTTAACTTTTTTCCAGGTGTATATATATTGGAATGATAATAATATCATGCATGATAAGTACTCTAGTTTTTAATTCAGTTCGTCGTTCGGTGTGCGATGGTGTGCTCATGATCACATGTATTTCGTATTATTATTTGTTCCAAAAGTGTGATTCTGTTCTTTTATGGGAAAGTAAACATTGTCTATTACAATAGAGAGTACTGCATCAATCTTGGGGTTGTGTGAGGTTAAACTGGGATTCTGTTCTTATATGGGAAAGTAAATGTCTCTTACAACAGAGTACTGCATCAACCTTGGGGTTGTGTGAGGTTAAACCGGGATTCTGTTATTTTATGGGAAAGTAAACATTGTCTATTACAATAGAGAGTACTGCATCAATCTTGGGGTTGTGTGAGGTTAAACCGGGATTCTGTTCTTTTATGGGAAAGTAAACATTGTCTATTACAATTGAGAGTACTGCATCAATCTTGGGGTTTTGTGAGGTTAAACCGGGATTCTGTTTCTTTAGTGGGAAAATACTGAGGCTGCCAA